TACGTTGCCCTCAGTAGAGTGCTGTGCTGTCACAGCTCACAGCAACCTCCAACTCTTTGGCTTCAGAGATTCTCTTGCCTCAGCCTCCCAAGTAGGTGGGACTACAGGCATCCACCACAATGCCTGGCTATTTTTTTTTGTTGTAATTGACATTGTTGTTTTGACAGGCCCAAGCTGGGTTTGAACCCACCAGCTCCTGTGCATGTGGCTGTCACCCTAGCCACTGAGCTACAGGTGCCATCCTAATTTCAACTATTTCTTTTTACTTTTTTAATGTGGCTACTAGAAAAATTAAAAGTACCTATTTGGGCTGGGTGTGGGTCACGCCTATAATCCTAGCATTCTGGGAGGCCAAGGCAGGTGGATTGCTCAAGCTCACATGTTCAAGACCAGCCTGAGCCAGAGTGAGACCCTCCATCTCTAAAAATAGCTGGGCGTTGCAGCTGGCACCTCTAGTCCCAGATATTAGGAAGGCTGAGACAAGAGAATCACTTGAGCCCTGGAGTTTGAGGTTGCTGTAAGCTATGATGTCATGGCACTCTCCTGAGGGTGACAAGTGAGACTCTGTCTCAAAAAAAGCCCTGCAAACAACAACAACAACATAAAGGTACCTATTGGTGAGCAATCTAATTCTATTGGTTAGGGGTGTTGAGAGAATGTCTGTATTCCTTACATCTGTATAACTATAAATGCTGTAAAAGATCCAATTTGAATGAAAAGTCCCCAAATTAATCCTCTATTTCTCTCTTTTTATCCTAAGCCACCTTCCCAAGGCGTTTTCATCTTTCCTTCTAAGAGGCTAAAAGAAAAGGGAAATTTTTCTTTTCTGATTCAGAAGTAGGCATAAAACAAATACATTTAAATGTAGTGGGGATATAAGAAAAACCGGAAGTAAACAAGACAGCCTGTAGACAATCTGTTAGCCAAACACAGTAATATATACACCTGGACAAGCATCAGTTCCACGAGGAAACCCAGCAACTTTAATTACTTCACCTACAGGCACTACACTGAGAATTGTTTCTTTCCACTTGAGTGGAAGCATGCTGTTACGCCAGAGTGAGCTGTCAGGAGTTTTGCTTCTCTTATACCAGTACTGTCTTCTGAGGTTCACTTTTATATGTGTTATGTAAATGATAATTAATACATGTAGCACATTGACAACAATAACGAGCATTGGTTTGGGAGTCAGAGAGATCTAGGTTTCATTCTGGCTTTGCCATTTGTTAACTCAACGGGCTTGAGCCAGCAGCTTTACCTCTGAAGGTATTTCTACACCTGCTATCCTGTAGAAATAGTAGGAACATATCTTTGTGTGTATGTGTTTTTGGGATTCATTGAGGTTACAGAGATCCAGGTTACACCAATTGCATGTGCTGGGTAAAATCTCTCTTCTAATTGTGTCCCGCCTCCAAGAGGTGAGGAATACAGCTCCTGACGGGTTAACACCTTGCCTGTGCTCCTAGACATTCTCCTCTCATTTAAAAAATCTGCTCTGCTACAAATATGATTATGTCTTCCATCTTTCGCCAAAGAAATTTTATTCCTCGCCTCAATCCTCATGGGTAGAATTTTGAGGGGACCACTGATCTTGGACATATTTGTCCTCTGCAGTTTTTTTGTTTTGAGACAGAGTCTCCCTCTGTTGCCCAGGCTAGAGTGCTGTGGCATCAGCCTAGCGCACAGCAACCTCAAACTCCTGGGTTCAAGTGATTCTCCTGCTTCATCCTTTGGAATAGCTGGGACTACAGGTGTCTGCTACAATACCCAACTAATTTTTCTATTTTTAGTAGAGACGGAGTCTCATTCTTACTCAGGCTGGTGGTGAACTCCTGAACTCAAGTGATCCTCTGGCTTTAACCTCTCTGAGAACAAGGAGAGAGCTATTCCTTATCCATCTTTCCAAACACCAGGAACACACTACTGACACATTTTGATTTTAAGATAAAATCCTATGAGTAGATAGGATCTTAAGTGCTTCAAAAGTATTTTTTTCAGGTGCTTGCCTAGGTCTATCTCAAAGGAAGAATTTAGGTTACATTTCTCCCCAGACCAGGGATGTTTGATTGAGCGGAGTATTCTCAAAGTGCCACTAATGATGACATCATCACTCCATCCACGCATTACCCACCTAGCATCCATCCCAGACCAACATTTTTTTTTTTTTTTAATACTCATGGTGTGTTGGGTCCCATGTGTTACACCTGAGTTGTTAGAATGAATAAAACTGTCCTTATTAGTGTGTCAGTGAGTTGGGGATGGAAGAGGTAGATGAAACAAACTAGTGAATCTTTGATCATTGTCACAGCTGGGAGATGCATGTGTTTTATCAGCTTTTTGGTATGTTTAACAATTTTCTTTCTTTTTTCTTTTTCTTGAGACAGAATCTCACTTTGTTGCCCTTGGTAGAGTGCTATGGCGTCATACCTTACAGCAGCCTCACACTCTTGGCTTTAAGTGAGTTGCCTCAGTCTCTGGAATAGCTGGGAGGACAGGCGCCCGCCACAACCCAGCTATGTTATAGAGACCAAGGCTCTCTTGCTCAGGCTGGTCTTGAACTCCTGAGCTCAAGCAATACACTCACCTCAGCCTCCCAGAGTGTTGGGTTACTGGTGTGAGCCACCACGCCTAGCCCTAACAATTTTCTCAATAAAGTTATATAATACAAATTGCTCTTTTTCTCAAGCTAGGGAGCTAGATTTGATAGAGGCCTTATTGTAGGCAAGTGCAGCCAGGGCCTGGACTTAAACGCAGAGTATTAGCGGAAGACAGTCTCTGGGGCAAGGTGAGGAATGCCTCCTGGTGGCAGGTAACTAGTTCTGAACTAGTTCTTTAAGTTGTTCAGATGAAAGAAGCCCCAAACTACAAGTCTGATTCAGCCTTCAGCTGGGTTTGGAGGAGCTCAGAGGTCAGGGTCAGGAGTGAGGAACTTGCCTCTCACCTAGCTTCCCCTTTGCTTAAGGTCAGCAGAAGTAGGAAGATATACAAATTCAGGCGCTGTGCAAGGCTTTTGGTTAGATTTGCCTGCGCCATATAGGGAACTTGACACAATTAGACAAGGGGGAGTTAGGAATCAAGTCCTTCCAACTCCAAAGACGGGGAGAATTGGTTCAAAACTTGAAATCAGACAGTGGTAGGTTCAAATCCTTACTAGCTTCGTGGCTTTGAACAAATCACTGGACCTCCCTGAGCTGACTCAATTTCTCCATCTATACAAAGAGTACGGTAAAACCTTGAAAGGTTTGGTGAGGACCAGAGATCCAACTGTCAAGATCCCGGCGTGAAGTGAAGGCTCCATAAATGGCAGCCATCATTCCTGGCCAAGTGCGGGTGCATTCTCCGAGGCGCGCCTCCCGCCGGGTCCCTCAGGACTGGCGCAGCCCGCCTCCCGGGCTCCTGCCCTACAGTCCTCCCAGCAGGTGGCCCAGCATTCGTACCCACGCCCCTAAGCAAGCCTGGAGGGAAGGAGGGTTGGATGTCCAAGGTCTCCCCCAAGGATCAACCCCCACCTCTATGCGCCCGGCGCAGGTAAGGTTTCCGGCCCAGGCCATGGGGACAGCGACCTCTGGGGAGGTCGAGGCGAAGGGCGCAGCCCCGGGCCTGGAGGGGGCTCCAGAGGGCGCTCCCTCCCTCGCCTGGGTTCACCCCTGGGCCAACCTCGGCGCCGGGGCCGCGGGCTGCGCGCTCTGCGGCTGTGAAAACCCGGAGAGGCGGATCGGAGCGCGCTCGCCGCGCTCGCAGCCAACTCCTCCGCGGTCCGGCCGCCGAGCTGGGCATGCTCAGTGCGGCCGCCGCGCCGCCGTCCGCCAACTCCGGAGCTTGCGCTCCCGGGCCGTGGGGGCGAGAACGCCAGCGGCGAGCCGGCGTCGCTCGCCGCCCCCAGACAGTGGCAAACTTCGCGGCGTCCCCAGAGCTCCTTCGGGCGAGGCAGATACATCGCTAATAAAATCAAATTCCGTTCCCCCATCCCAACCCCAATGATGGAGGCTGCGGCCGCTGGAGTGACCCCGCCGCCACCGGCCCCCGCCCGCTAGCCGGGACCAACAGGTAAACTGTTGGGGGTTGTGGGGGAGGAGCTGTGGTCTGGGGGAGGGCAGCGGGCAGAAAAAGCCCTAAATGCCTACGGGCTGACTGGCCCCGTCGGCGCTCACGGCCATCCCTTCTCACCCCCCCTCCTCCCCAGCCCCTGGAGGGGCTGCAAAGGGTTAAGTCGGCCCCGCGCCACCGTGAGCACGGCCCCCTCCAGCCTCCGCGACTGCCAGCAGCGCGCCTCGGCGCCTGCCCGGAGCCGCCTAGGGGACCCGAGCCGCGGATGCGCCACCAGAGCCTAGCGGGCGTCTAGGAGGAACCGGCCGCTTCCCACCGTCCGCATCCCTGCGTCTCCCACCCCCTCCAGGCCTCCTTCCCTCTGCCCCGGCCGGGTCCGTGCTCAGGTGGCGGGGTCTGCCGGGCGCGTGGCGGCGGGGGAAGGGTCTTTGCCTAGGAAGAGGGGCGGGGGCGGGCCGCTCATCAGCCTCTTCCTCAGGGAAGAGAGCCATTCTCGTCTGGGGCGAGCACTTGAGCCACCCGCCTAGGAGCCAAGAAAAGTTTATTTTCCCCTCTTGCCCCTCCCCCACTCCCACCCTGCGCCCAGCTGGGGTGGGTTTGGGTCCATTGGTGAAAAAAGTCACACGTTCCCATCAGCTGCTCCTCCCCCTGGGGACAGGAGGCAGGCGCCGCGGAGGACCCTGGCAGACCTCCAGCTCCTCTGCTGCCGCCACCAGATAGGTGCGTCCCGGGGCTCGAGCGCAGCCGGGGGCCCGCCGAAGGCTGCCCCCATCAGTGCGAGTCTGCGTGCCGGGCAGCAGCAGCATCCAACCTGCTTTATTCCTGCCTGCAGCGCCACAGCGAGCGAGGAGGGGGAGAGAGGGAGTCTGTCTGCAAAGTGCTGCTCCCTGGTGCTCAGAGGCGGCTGCTCCAGCTCCAACTCTCATTCATTTCGCCGGTTAACATGAGAGATCATGGCCGCCTTCGGGCTTCTCAGCTATGAGCAGAGACCGCTGAAGCGCCCCCGGCTTGGGCCGCCCGACGTCTACCCACAGGACCCCAAGCAGAAGGAGGTAAGGGCGCCGGCGGCCTCCCCAGCAACCGGGGCCGTGCTCTGCAGCGCTGACCCGGGGCCAAGTTGGCCCAGCAGGCATCGCAGGCGCTGCGGGGGAAGGGTCGGGGAGGGGATTGGAGGCGGAGGTCGGGCTGGGGGGCCCAAGGACCCCCGGCGGCGGAGACCGAGTGGCTGTCAGTCCTAGCGCTCCACTGGGGCGCTCGCTCTCCGAGTGCCGGGTCGTTTTCGCGTTACCGGGCCTTGCACGGCGCTGCCGGTTGCTTCATGGGTTTCTTGCCTGCCGAAATCCTCCCGTTCGCTCTCCCTCGCTTCTGCTTGTTTTATTTTTCTCTTTGCCGCTTCAGTAAATCCTTGTAAACTTTTTGAAAAATGTTGGAATGCAGTGCATCCGACACTGAGGTCTTGCGTTTTGCGCCTGCTGGCCGGAGACGGATGTGGGGGGGGGGTTCTTTTCAAATTTTGCAGTTTGGAATCGAAGTCGTTTTTATCAAGGTGATAGATACTTACCTCTCTTACCTCCGTATCCCCTCTCCGCTTTAAAAATCAATATTAAAGAGAAACACTGATTTTCGTCCCTAGAGCAATTGGCTTAATTGCTGGAGGCTGTTTTGTATATGTAAAAGCAGGCGAGTTGTCTTGGGAGGGAATCGGTCGGTCCCAGGATTGCTTATTTCTTTGAATGAAATCATTTGAAAAAACCTTGACTCTTGCACCAGGTACACTAGCTTCAATGTCTAGGGTAACCGTGGCATTTTGTAGCTGTGTGTGTGTTTGTCAGGAGTTAACAAGTAATTATGTAACAACTCTCCAGTTATAATGATCATCACCCTTGGCTACACAATTTGCTCAGGGACTTGCTTTTTTTTAAAGATCACCTGCTACCCAGCTGTGCTTTCTGAGTTCGCCAGCTGCAGCCCACCCATTCTCTGTTTTCTTCAGCTAAACACTAGCTGACCACATTTCAGGACTTATCTTTCTGGGAATCTAAAAATCCTCTCTTAAAAGTTTATAGGCCTACTGGCATCACAGAAAAGAGCTTTGTTACTAAGGCAAGGAGAGGTCCTTAAGACTTGGGTTTTGATAAATGTATCTGTTTCATTAATGGAGTAGGGATGCTTGTTCTGACTAAACTGTTTTGCTAATGAAGTGTCTGAGAGATAAGGAGCAGCAACTCCTTTCAGAGGTTTAGCACACTAAATATGTTTGAGCAGCAGTGCAGTAATTCAGATTAAAGCTAGGAAGGTTTTATAGGCGGGTTCCCAGCAGAGATTTAATGGGAAAGTAGGAGTTTGAGATTTTGTGGGTTCTTTCCCACCAATCTCCCCACCCTGTTACCCCTTAGAGATGCTAAGGATCACGTGTAAAGAAAAGTAATAAAACGGAGTGGGAGGAAGTTTTGATGGGAGGGGAGGGGACAGGGGCATTCACTGGGTGATCTTTATCATCTTGTGATTAACACGTTGACTGCCACACTAGGAAAAAAAGTTTTTCCTTGGGGCCAAGGTATTTTATTAGGCCAAGACAGGTCAGGAGGCATGTCAGTCATACATGCTTCATGAGGTCTCCAGTTCAAAACTAGCAAAAGTTAAATACAACTGGCGTGGCAGTTAATGTCTGGCCCAGCTCTTCAGAAGGCAGCGTAATTGACACTCCTCAGTTATGGTATGGCGGCTTGGGGTGTCACTCGGCCTTATATAGCACTTACTCCTCAGCTCAAACTTATTTTTCGATATATGTGCATTTCAGGATTGAGGTGTCTGTGATTCTGGAAAGAGTGATTTTGGATTTCAGGGTCTTAAAACATTTTATGGAGTTTTGAAACAGGAAAGTGACCTTTGAGGTGCCTTTTTTTTTTTTTTTAAGACAGTCTCACTATGTCACCCTTGGTAGAGTGTTGTGCTGTCACAGCTCACAGCAACCTCAAACTCTTGGGCTTAAACGAGTCTCTTGCCACAGCCTCCCAAGTAGCTGGGACTACTGGCGCCCACCACAACGCCCAGCTATTTTTAGAGATGGGGGTGGGGGGTTCCCGCTCTAGCTCAGGCTGGTCTGGAACTTGTTAGCTCAGGCAGTTCACTGGCCTCAGCCTTCCTAAGTGCTAGGATTACAGGTGTGAGCCTCCGTGCCCCCGCCCTGTGGCACCTTTTTAAACTTCTTTTGAAAAGGGAAACTGAGACCAGGCAAGGCTTAAGTGATTTGACTAAGGTGTATGGTGGCTAAGCAGAGTTGGACCACCAAACCAGTATTTATGTCAAAACCAATAGGGTTGAGGATGCTTTCTGCTAAATTGTCGTTCTGATATTCTTCCCTTCCCCCCAAGGCAGGCAGTGTTTTATCTGTCTTGAGCAGAGAGTCAGTTATGTGGGACTGTAGCCAAATTTGGGTATAGTACAGAACAGGTGCTTGGTTGATCTTGGGGGTGGTTGGCGCACAGAGTTTTCTAAGCTTTAGTTATTTATGTATTACCTCCCTCAGGATTTCTCCCCGACCCCCATTCCACCTATGTATTCGAATGTTTTCTTTAACTTTTAAGAAACTTTTTGTTTCTGAAGCACTACTATATGTGAAGTCATGGATTTATATATTGTGATGTATATGTGTGTATATATAAATTTCAACTGATGTATGTATATAACTTTATCTGATAATACATGCACATACATATATGATTATACACATTAAAATGAGACCATAACTATTAACACTCTAAAAAGTTTATCTGTCCATCTTAAACCATTAGAGCTTTGTGTCCGCATGGAGGGAGATGCTGATTTAATGGAGGAAGTGTGGGGAGACCTGGAATTGGGTCCTGGTTTTGGATCTTTGTGATTGTGTAGCCGTGGGCAAGTTGCAAGCCTTCTCATTTGTAAATTAGTTTGATTGTGTACTTCCGAAAAGTTTGCACATCAGCGTTTGTGTGAGAAAAGCCCTGCTCCTAGTAAAAGTTTTTCTTATCTCTGTTGAAGTCGTTTTTATTGTTAACCAGTGGTAATAGAGTTCTGGAAAATGGCTCCCAGCAAATAAGGTTGGAACCCTTGAATGAAGGTCCCCCCCACCACCCCCAGAGGTATGGAGGAGGAGCTGGAAGCTTAACTGCTTGATGGATTGATTGTATTTATTTGCTAGCTTGCTGTGCAGCAGCAGCCCAGAGGACTTTATTATACTTTGCCCTCTGGAAACACTATCCTCCTTCCTTATGCCCCATACATCCACACATCTATGAGTGCATCGTGCATCGTGTTTGATCCAGTTCCAAAAGGTATTTCCAATCCATCCATTACTCCCTGGTTTCACCAATGTGCTTAACCTCCTTTTGGACTCCAGGCTGTCTTTTCTCTGCTCTGGGGCTCCTGCATATGCCCATCTGTCTGCCCAGACACCCATCTGCCTACCCACTTGTTTGCTACACCCTCAGCTTTCGACTCGCTCTTGTCACCTTAGGAAGGTAGGTGCTGAAGCCACTGTGCTCGGGTTGGAATCCAGGCTCTCCTGTGTATATATTCCTTATTCTCTCCACGCCTCAGTTTCCTTCCCGGTACAGTGAGGATGATGATACTGCTCACCCTGTAGGGCTGTTGGAAGATGACGTGGATAATGCATGTACAGCACTGGAGTAGGATCTGCCGTAGATTCAGCCCTCAAGTATTTGCTGTCATAAACTGTCGTCAGGCCTGCTGCTTCATCACTCAGGTCTCCGTCCCACGATCTCCTCAGGCCTTTCTGGTATCTCAGGGATGAGACCTGCTTGAGGCATGGCTGAAGTACCTGGCACCTAGTACAGTTAGTTTCTAGAATGTTGAGGGCACAAGTATTTGTCGGAATGTATGAATAGAAATGGGAAAACTGATGACTGAAGGGTGAATCTTAAAGCTAGATGTTGCATCTGCCTTGGAGGCTACAAGGCTGAAAGTGAAATTAAGCCCTAGAAATAGGAAGGAAGAGTTTTACTATGGGATAAAAGAGGCTAAAACAATTAAATAGTTAATATATTTAGGAAATCCAATTAGTCAAATAGATTGGACTACGGAGTCTGAGGCAAGAGGATCATTTGAACCCAGGAGTTTGAGGTTATTGTGAGCTCTGATGACACCATGGCACTCTACCCAAGGTGAAAGAGTGAGACTTGGTTCTCAGGAAAAGAAAAAAAAAAGAAAAAGTAAAACAATAGTGAGATTTCTAGGTCCCAGGAGCTATAGCACCCTGCCAGAAGGGTGTGGGGGGAGGTTGGCTGGTGTGCTGTGCAGGGGGCTCCCCAGGGGTTATTAAGTACAGCATGACTTGGAGAGTTGGTGGTGATAATGATAGGGGTGGTGACTGCATGAGGATAACCCACGGTAGTGGTTCTCCAACTTCGGAGCACATTTGGGTGGCATAGAGGGTTTGCTAAACACAGATTCTTGGGGTCCCAGAATCAGCATTTCTGACAAGATTCAAGGATGTGACCTGAGCTGCAGGTCCTAGGTCCCACTTGGAGAACCCTGGCTTAGAAAGAAGGCATCCTATTCTGTAGGGTCTAGACCATTGTCTTTCAGCCTTTTTTTTCAGTCATAGCACACTGGTACCTGTGAGTACCAGTTGATTTTGAAATTTTTTCAGAAGTACACAAACTAATTTACAAATCAGAAGGCTTGCACACTGGTACCTTACTCCTTTCTGGAGTAAGTAACCCCTTAAAAGGGCTTAGCTCCTTTGTGTCCAGGGTCTTGTTCCATCCTTCCCCCTGCAGTCATCTTTTCTGTTATAGTTAAACTTTCACAGCACACTTAAATTATGTTGATTGAAAAAAAGAGTTAAAAAAAAAAAGAGAGAGAATGTACTTACTGTGCTTTGAACTTCTTTCAAAACTAATTTAATTAATGATCTTTAAAAATGTTCGAAGCACACTTAAAGTCATCACTGGCCTGGAGAATCCTGCTTGCCACAGGCAAGGATTGGACTTCTATGTGGCTGAAGTTGCAGTGGCCTGATTTTATAGTTGACTCCGCTACGATTTGGTGC